TTTCCTGCACGCGTAGTGGCCGTATTTGATTCGCTGAACGTTCAAAATCCAGACAATCACCAATGTCCAACAATGACGGCCCTTTATCTCATTAGGAGGCTATTTCTGCTGCCCTCACTCCGTGCGCTCGTTAGTCACGCGACTATAACTTAAGCCGGCACGCACGGGCTCGTCCATCTCTGAGTGACAACACCAGGTGCGACTGAGCAATCTCGAGGGGGGGGGGTCACATTCCGTGAAGTCCAAGTCCACCGGACCAGAAACGAATCTTTTTTTTAGATGGTGATGAAAATTGGATGTGAGACGTGCTCCACTCCAAAAGACGCATCAGGCCAAAACACATCTCAGAGGTTAGCAATGTTAACCATAGGATTTTTTTTCAGGCGAACAAGAATCCTCACGGGAATGAAAATGGAATCTTTTTTTTTAAGTGGCCGAGATGCTATGCGGTGTACAATAATAGATTATAATTGCTACTCTGTCACGCATTGCTCTCACTATCCCACATGACTTGGTTCACGAACATCTAAAAGTGCTGCTGAATCTGAATGTCGTAATATACATCGTGGAATGAAATGCAGTGCCCTGTAATAAGCTGTCACCCATTCGACGGTGGCATTTTCAGCTTCCGTGTCACAAACACAGTTTTGCTCTCGGTGTACAAACACCGTGCCTTCCATAAGGCAGGGGGGAGGGGGTGAAGCAACGGTTATCACACTGCCCAATGAGCCCGCAACCTGAGTTTGATTCCCGGCTAGGAAAAAAAAGTTTTGTTTTGACCAAATCACTTGCAATGTGTCCAGTGGTGTCAAATCTTGGGAGGTTAAGCAGGCGTTGAGCCTGGTGAGTGCACGGATGTGTGACCACGATCCACAAATCGGTTTGTCATCGGGCCTCTGTGGCTACGTGTTCGGCAACAGAGGGCAGTGCAGCACTATGTATTGTTGTACAGTATTCATAAACTCCCATACCTTCACCAGTCAGCCATGGGCCCATGGTCAACGTCGCATTCAGCAGAGGATTGACGAAGGGCTAGTACAGAAATTGTTTCCCATGAGCGTAGTAACGTCACGATGACTGACCTTGAAATATCATTCATTGTACTCATGTTTATGTTAAGATTAGCTTTTCTAGCCAATAATGTACCCAGGAAATATGGAATTTTGGCTCAACGGTTTCGACCACATACCAACATTCACCCAACGTTGCATGTTCACTGGGTAGAGCAATGGATTCCAGCACAACAGCTCAATATCATAGACATGACCCATGAATGAATCTCATTCACTGTGCCTAAAACGAATTTGTTTGAGAAAACAAATTTAGGACGTTTAATTATCTGTTAGTTTCTACCAAATCGTCTGGACGAGGGCCCGATCTTGTCGCAGATTTGAGCCTGGACATCGCTTGGGAAGGCGACCAGCAAACTGTAAAAGCAGACGTTGTAAGCTACACCCGTTGACAGCAGAGGGCAGTGCAACAACAATGATTGGTGTGAGAAAGACGTCATCCAGCAGTGGATTGACAAAGGGCTGCACACTTACGGAGATGTGCAAATAGTGTGCTTGTTGCGGTCTTGAACAGAATATATATTTTTTTCAAAGTGAACATCAATGTCTTTATCTGTTAAATGTATTTCCAAAGACCAAACTTTTGTCACTGTAATTAAAGGCATGCACTTATGCATATAAATGAAACCCATCACCGTTATTTATTAGTACTGGACGGAAATGCGTCTGATTCCTCCACACTTAGTGAAACTATTACTCACGACAGTGTAATAGATACAGCTGCAGGCAACGGTGGTTGGTTGAAATGGACAGTCCCAAGAGGGGATGGGGAGCCCGGGCCAAATCCCCCCCCCCCCCCCCCCGCGAAGCCCCCCAAAGCGCGGGGCCCGGGCCAAATCCCACTGTAGGCACCCCCGACGCCTGAATAATGAAGCAGACGTGTTCCATCTGACATCGTGACGTCGAAGCGCGTGCCAACCCCCCCCCCCCCCCCCGAAGCCCCCCAAAGCACGGGGCCCGGGGCGGTCGCCCCAATTCGCCGTAGGTGCTCACCATGACCGATACAGATGTATCAGTCGGTGGGCTACTGCTGCTGCCAGGATTGCGTGGTGGTCAGCAAAGGCCGTGTTGTACTGCACTTCTATGATCCGTGCCTTTGCCAACCGGTACGGACCAGCGTGGTTGAAGTGTGGTCCTATGGCTCATCAATGTCAGCGTGATCCATTTATAGATACCACACTGAATTATTAACGTCAACACATTCGTCAATAGCACTGTGGCCTGAAAAGGGAAAATATAAAATAGGCGACGTCTTGGGCAATGGCTCTTCTTCATAGAATATCATGGTTATCCGGTTTTTGTTGTTGTTATTGGTTGTGCATCACTGCCAAAGAATTAGTTTCATTTGTTATTGACCATATAATTTTCCAATATTATTATTGTCGTGGAGTATCTATAAATGGATCACCCTGCGTACCAGTCGACTTACATTTCACGATACGATATTAACGTTCACAATGTGACGGTTATCGCGATATCAGTTAAGCTCAACTTCGTAACTGCGTCTGAGAGTCGCATTGCATCGTTTTTGTGCCATGATGCGCTTCGGGGGTAAGAATTCCATGGCAGTTAACACAATTTATCAGGAAAACAATGGACAACGAAGACATTTAAACATTGGCAATAGGTTAGCTATGTATACCCGATTGTTATAATGTACATATTTTGAAAAAAAGAAGAATAGGTTTTACCCTTTCTGGCAATAAAATAGTTGTTAAGATTAGATTTGATGCTTTCGTGACTGCAGGAATTAATCTTGACTTTACCGAAAAAAACAAAGATTAGTTGTTAAGATGTTCAAACATCAAATAGAAACTATTTGTAAGGGACCATGTCTGCATTAACCACACGTACTTGAACATGCAAACAGTCATGCTCTTATAATTAGGAGCCGTCCATAAATGATGTCACGCGATTTTGGACGATTTTTGACCTCCCCCCCCCAATCGTCACATGACGTCACAAAAAGTCAGACCCCCCCTCAAATATGACGTCACAAAGCTCTGCCCCCCTCCCCCCAAAAAATATATAAACATGCTTCAAATCGCTTTAAACTATTGTCATTGTAGTGCGTATTTAATGTGCCGCTGCACTCTGATGTTGTAGGAGAAAACATTTATTAGAAAGTCTTTAATTAAGTAGAACGTGTTGTCTATATTTATGTAAAGTTGTGCATTTTGATCTGACGTCACATTTCTCACCCCCCTCCCCCTCGATCACACATCGTCACAAATGTCGACCCCCCCCCCAGGTGCGTGACGTCATTTATGAACGCCCCCCCCCCTAATATATGATGCATTGTCCCATGTTGTAGCTCCTCACCCCGAGCTGTAAACGCTCTGATAGTGCATGGTCTTTGTACTGGTCGCCTTTTGCCATTGTTCACTACTCTGACACTGGTAGGTGAGACTCGGTCCTCAAGAAGGCTGCTGTCTCTGGTGCAGGCCAATCAGTTTCAAAGACAATGCATCAGATACAGGGTGCTTCAAAAACATGTTAACACTCAGTATGGTACTATCGATTTTAATGGGGGGGGGGGGGGGGGGGAGGTGAAATAACGGATAATACACTGTGACATGATAACAAATGTAATGTTAACAGCTTCAAAAAGTCAAAGAGTCTCTCTCCCACTTGCTCGCCATCGTTGTCAACACGTGGCCTGGGATCTCTTCCAGGTGGCCATCAGAGCTCGGAGGCAGCAGCACGTTTATTGCAGTTATAGTGGCAAATTCTCAGAAGTGTTCACACTTTTTGAAACACCGTGCGTTAACAGATGATGTTTTATATTCTTGGTTCTTTCGGTAAAGTCACGTAGAAGGGAAACAATAAAATAATAAAAATATAAAGCAATATATCTTTATTATTTTATATATTTTTTATTATTTTATTGTTTCCCTTCTACGTGACTTTACCGAAAGAACCAAGAATATAAAACATCATCTGTTAACGCACGGTGTTTCATCATCTTTTTATTTAAAGCTTTCGTGACTGCAGGGATTCATATTCTTGGTTCTTTCGGTAAAGTCACCACGTAGAAGGGAAACAATAAAATAATATAAAAATATAAAACAATAAAATTCTCACGACGTTTCGACTGCAACACAAGCAATCATCATCAGGTGTGAAAACCACGATAAGAAAATTGTATTATTTTATTGTTTCCCTTCTACGTGACTTTACCGAAAGAACCAAGAATATCAAAAGATGATGTTTTGCTTGCATGTTAACCACAAGCACCGCGTGTGGTTAATGCAGACTTGGTCCCTTGCAAAAAGGTTTCTGTTTGTTGTTTGGACATCTTAGCAACTTTTTTATTGCCACAAAGGGCAAAACCTATTCTTATTTTTTCATACTTTTATTACTGGCGAAAAGGATCCCATTTTGTACCTATTTTGTCGGGCAATTCAGCACAGTACAAAGGACGATACGATAAAATTTCGATTTGAAGCTTTCGTGACTGCAAGGATTCATCTTCTTTGGTTCTTTCGGTAAAGTCACGTAGAATGAGAATAAAATAATAAAATAACACAATAAAATTCTCACGACGTTTCGGCCACAACGCAAGCGGCCGTCTTCAGGTGAAAGGTACAGAACTGTCGGGACGACAGAGCTTCAATGAACGAATCTTAACATCGTTCATACGATTATCGTGGACATCGTATCGTAAGCGCGTGGCTCTGTCGGAGTTAACGATCTGGCCAGAGAGGGGTGGGGTAGTGGGTGGGGGGTAAGGAGGTGGGGAGGGTGGTAAGGGGGGTGTAGTGGGGGGTGGGTGTAGTGGGGGGTGGGTGTAGTGGGGGGTGGGTGTAGTGGGGGGTGGGTGTAGTGGGGGGTGGGTGTAGTGGGGGGTGGGTGTTGTGGGGGGTGGGTGTAGTGGGGGGTGGGTGTAGTGGGGGGGAAACCTCTGATCTGGCAACAGCTGCGTGGCGGCCGTGTCCCTAGATTCCGCAGTCCGCTTCGGGCCCCACGCGTGGAGGAGGAGGCGGAAGCGCGCCCGGACCCTCGTCAAGGTGCGCCCGGCCCAGCCTCCCGCCGCGACTTCTCCCCGCAACGTTCCCCTACACCACCCCCCCCCTCCTCAGAGGCCGCCTTTTAGCCGGCAACAACAGGTGAGTTCACGGCGTCCTCGTCGTCCTGACTCCCGGCGTGCTTGTTTTTGCGTGTTGTGCGGTAACGGGGTTTGGGAGGCGGGAGGCGGGGGGGGGGCGCGGTGTGAGGTGCCGATTCACCCCGGCCCGCGTGAAGCGAGTCGAGCCCAGGTGAGATTTCAGGCGAGTCCGAGGCTGCGCGCTGCCCCCACCCCCGCGGGAAGGCGCTAGGCCGCGGCGCAAATCGTTAACGAAGTTGATGGGGTTGAGACCGAGGCGAAGCTTCGACCGGCGGCAGCGGCGGTAGATTTAGCGCTGCCGCGGGCGATTCGACCTGAAACGGCAGTCGGGTGAGTTTGAAGGCGGGCGATGCGTGAGGGCAGCCAGCGGGTGGCGTGAGATTGGCGAGTTGGTGCTGCGGGGTTGATGGGTGCGGAGCCACAGACCACAGGTAGCTTCCACGCAAGCGTTTCGCAACCGATAAAAAAAGAGATATTGCCGCTCGACTGATTCCGAGTGGGACCTCTGCTGGGTCATGTAAGCCCCCCGCATGCCCGGCCACCGCATGCCGAAACAGCTTTTTGTTCGGCCGGATCGAGGGGGCTGAGCGGGCGCGGCACGGGCTAGAGAAGAGATGGAGTGACGTGGTACAGGAGGACGTGGAGCTGAGTGGACTTGCCGATGACTGGTACCAGCGGTGTCAAGATAGGCCTCTGTGGAGGAGGCTCGTGAAGGACGCTGCTACTGGGCAGTTGGAGGCATTCGCCCTCCAACAACAACGGAGGGCGGAGGAGCGACGCTCACAACAACGAGCGGAGCGCCGGGTGGCTAAAGCACAACAGGTTGGCACAGGAGGGGGCACAGGTGGTGTATCAGCCAGTCATCTCAGTCAGTCGACCCGTGGCACCTGGGTCTGCCCCGTGACCTCCTGCCCGCGGGCGTTCGACACTCCACGTGGTAGCCTCAAGGTGCACATAGCCTGGCACAAGCGTCGTGGGAACGTCACCACCACTTAGTGGCGAATGGCGGTTGTTGTTGTTGTTGATGGGTAAGTCGGTGAGTGAGGCAAGGGGACTGCTTTGTTCGCGGAAAAGTTAAAGTCCGCCGTGAAATAACGAGATCGTCAACAGCGGCGAGGCTCGAATGCGTGATAATAATTGGGAAGTTTGCGGAGCAAAATAGTTGGAGGGGATTTTGCAACTTCGCTAAAGCGTCACGCTATCGCACGGGACTGCGTGCGCATTGCACCCCGTGTACACAAGTTGGTGTGTCTAACGGAATGTTATTATATTTGCGGAGTGGTTTTTGTGTTGCACGGTTCTCTGAACATTGCACTAAATTTTAGGAGCGTTCAAGTCTGCTTGCTCTGAGTTGATGGAGAAGGAAACCCGCCCCCCCCCTAACATTTATAAGTTTTGTAGTTTTGTCGAAAGCAGCCCTGAAAGTCTGGGTCCAGCAATCGAAGCCCAGTAAAATAATGCGCTAATTTGAGCCGTGGGCAATACACGAGACCCCCTGGAGTTTATCGGAGTCTGTCTGAGCTCAGAGTACTCCTGATGACATGGCATCCCAGGAATCTTAAGCATTGGGCCGAGCCTTTGAGCTGCGTTACAGACAAGTACAGTAATTACTCTTTGTGTTTTTTCGGTAAAGTTACGTATAAATAAGAAATAATAAAATAACAGCGTACGACGTTTCGGTTGCAACACGCAGCCATCATCAGGTACAGAAGAGCTAAATTATGAGAGAGGGGAGACACATAACCTCAGATGTATATACAGACACCCAAGTAGGGGGAACTGACAGATACAACAGGGGACACAGAGAGAGAAGCATACCAGACAAACAGGGTTTAGCAAGAATTTTTTTGGAAACCATGTAAAGCAACACAGACGGTCGGTCAAAACACAATTAACGCATAGTCCGGTTGATCACGCTATTTCAAAAGATTGCTAAATTGCAAGTAAAGTATGAAACTCAAAATACAGACCGCGCACACACACAGACAACCAAGTAGAGCGAGCCAGCACAGAGACAAGCACACAGTAAAGTTGCCTTAAATAGGCAGAGAAGGTAAGGCTGAGTGACAATGGGACAAAATTAGCATGAGGTATGCATGGAGCAAAGTGGTGCGCGGCAGCACACAATGGGACAAATCAGCACGAGGTAAAGTGGGGGTCGGCAGCAAAGAGTAATCCCTGCAGTCACGAAAGCTTCAAATCAAGTCTAAAGTACAGTAATGTTTGAGAGTGATTCTGGCCGAGGGGTAAAAGATATTGCTTTGCATATTACCTTAGCATACATTTATTTCGCTTGACCTTTGGTTGTTTTGTCAGGTATGGCCACCGAAAGCTTAGAAATGTAGAGGCGCTATACTGGTTAACTTGAGATGTATGTATGGTTAGTCACCGAACCCCACGAATCTTAAAGATAATTATCATTCTGGCTAAACCTCAGACGTTTTTAATTTGTTCGATTATTGGACTAATTATGCCGAGGAATTGCACTAAAAGCCGAGATATTTAGATGTGGCAGAAATTTTATTTTATAACTACGTTCATCAACATCGTAACCTAAGTGTGCCTTGGTAAGGTTTTAAAATACTTGGGTCAGTTATGTTGAAACCTACAAATGCTGACCTTGAATGACGTTGCAATCAACGAAACAAATAGCCCTTGTAGATACGGACCTTGTTGTCCAACTTGTGTTTGAAGCGTCATTAACGAGAAAAGGGGCTTGCAAATAACAACTTCAATAAAAAATTGTACGGCCCTTTATCGATCCACTGCTGGATGAAGGCCATAATTCACCACGTTGGACATTGTGGGTTGGTGAGAGTGGAGGTGAACAGGACTGGTTTGGTTATCACTTGCCACTCGTGGAAATGAGCGGGAATTGAACTCTAATTGAATTTATAATGCAGGGGTGCTAACCAATGTGCCACTGGTCCCAATCTCTGCAGTTGACTATTAAAAATAATGGAATTCACCCTAGAACACCACGGTGGCACATTTTAATTCACTTTAAAGTCTCTTATATTAACAAAGCTTCAAGTGCACACCAGACAAAGTAAGGAAATCCTTAAATTTGCTGACAGTTGTTATGGTACATTGATCTCTTAAATATCACAGAATGCTGAGTTTGGTAGTTGTCAGATTAAACAGGAGCGACAGATGATACATTTTCAATTACCATCGTACACAATTTGGTCAGTGCACATTGTAAATGTTGTACCAATTGAACTTGTGGCATCAGTTTGAGTATTCGTGTGAAGCAAAAGAAACCTTACGGCCAGTTAACAAGTGAGTACAATCACTACAGACAGGGTAAGAGCAGATTGCTTATGCCTTCGAGGTGTTTGGATATTTTGCCTAAAACAAGTTGACGTTTCAGTCCATTAATGTGAGGGGCTGCATGCTATCTTAATCCTTTGTGAAATGTAATCTTTTTTTTCCTTGTTAAGAACCTCTGAGCCTCTGACCATGAAGTTCTAGCGATGCCATAAATATGTAATGGCTGCCTTAATGTGAATTCTTTTTTGTTAGTCCGCATTCATTAATGCCGACCCATAAAGATGCTTTTGCTTTTGTCCCACGGAGAACAGTCGTAAATTACTTTCTCATTGTCATCAACGACCATAATTTGTCCACTGCTGGTTGGCCTGCGAACGCTATTGCCATTCCTCATGTTCTTACAATGTCGCAATTGATCTCGTTCATGCACATGAGCCAATCTCATCACTCCCATGTCATGCATGTTGTTCTTTTCTTGGGTGTGTTCTTTCCTTTGGCTGCCTTTGCATCACCAGTTTTGTCCAGACGTCCGTCCTTCTACTAAGTCCACTTTATTTTTATTTTATTTTTATTAACCATCAGTACTAAGAGGACGTCCACCGCAGAGATGAAGTGGTAAAATTTAGCTCGTGGTGCAGGTGCTGGATAGATTGTTGCATCGCAGGATCATGAGAAATGACGACAGCTTAAGGAGGCAGTGGACCAGCATTTGGATTGATTAAGGTTGATAATGGAATATTCATGAGTTAAATCATCCATAGATACTTAACCGCAGTGGAATTTTTTTAATGATAATTTTGTATTTGTTCTTTTGCTTATTTTTACATTTTTAAATACTTTCAAATATGCATGAGGAATGTTTATAGGTTTTGTCGTGAGATGTGCTTTATTTCATAAAGGTGTTAAAGTGATCATGCAATGTGTGCAGGTCCTACAGACAGAGTAAGCCCAATAAGTACCCCATATAGACCCTTTAATTCACAATTAAAAACTAGTTTCTTTTGGGTGAGGTCGTGTCGGTATAATCTACATTTATTGATATAGTTAACAATATAGTAAAACATTGGCGTATGTTTCGGTTGTTGCTTCACTAAATATTCCATGCGTGGTTACCTCAAATAGATAAAATCTTTGCATCGAAAGTTACAATTGATTGGTCAGCATATGCAAGCATATAAGCGGTCTTGCGGCCCGAGCTGTCACACAAAGCATGCTTTTAATTCAGACTGTACAGTATATTAATTACCAGAACTGGTGCAACCATTGCAGAGATTAATGTGATGTATTAAGCCTGAATCAGAATTGACTTTTGCCATTCCATGCATAAATCTAAAGTCATCCCATGATGACTTTAGATTTATTTTCTGTTCAAATATACTGAAACCGTATTGGATTTTTGTGATTCTTCTCTGAGTGAATCTTGCAATTCTTCTTTGTGTGATTCCCATGTTACAATCTCATTTTGTGTACGGTACATGACTGCGCATCTGTACGTATACAGCACTGTGGGGAGCGGTAGTGTAGCGGTTTGCGCGCTGCGGTACGAACCTGGCGACCCGAGTTTGATTCCTGCTCATGGCCAACACCCAGTGAAGATTATCCGGTCCTGGTCTTCCCCTTGGTCGCGTCAGCCTCAAATGAGGACCTGGTGCGGTGTGTAAAACATCCCCACTAGGGAGACAAAGGCGGCCGGGCGTGGTGTTGGCCACACACCTCCTCGTGTGCCGT